TCCTTTTGTTTTCATTAATATTCTTTTCAGCTGTAGAAATGATGAGTATTTGAATTAGTAAGTAATGTTGTGATGCATGTGACGAGTAATTATGAGTTAAATGGTTACCCGTTTGATAGGAACTTTTAGTCGTTGAAGAATTATAGATCATAGTCAGGAATTCAAGTACAGGGTTATTATAGTTTGGAAGAATTTGAGAATGTTTGGAGAATGAAGGTAGATGGAAAAATTCTTCCAGGCTTTGTTTTATGAAATGAGTCACTGGTTGGTAATAATGTAGGTGGAAATTAGTTCTTTTTACGCTATGATTTTTGAATTATGAGAAACGTCTTGAATAATCAAATCAGCTGATTTACTTTATCTAGAGCAATTTATGATGTTTTAGGCCAATGGTTTTGTTTTGCCAAAGTTCTGCTCTATCAAAGGAAGCCATTTGTATGTTTTCTATCTTCAAAATATGTTTATCTGCTTTTTCTTCCTTTAGTCTGGTTTATTTGATAAGGCCATTGATATTAGAATTGACCAAGTGTCCTTTCATGTAAAAATTTACAAAGCCTTAGATGTTAAATGCAACCAACTTGTTGCACAAAAAATTATTTTCTGCTATTACAATATATTCATGCTTTTAGGCCTTTCAAAATGCCTGGAAGATAGCATGTTCTTTCCCAGCACGAACAAGAATTTTAATGCCGGCTGGATATACTTATCTGGTTCATCCTGTTGAGCTTGGCGGGCCTTGCAAATCAAAGGTCACTTTGATGGTAAGCAACAGAGTGAGATCATTCAAATTTATAACCAACATTTCCGTAATATGTCTTTCTCTTCCTTATATTAGTAGTTGACGTCCCTTCTGATCACTGCTTGGGGTTGTGTTCAATAGATCTCTGGGACAATTGTTGCTCCCAAAGATCCTGATGTGTGGGATGGTTTGAATCCTCGCAAGTGGCTGTACTTCCATGAGGTGAACCACCTCCATGTAGATGGGGGAGGGACTATCAATGGGATGGGACAGGAATGGTGGGCTGGATCGTGCAAAAGAAAGAAAACAAATGTACTGGTGTACTTAATTTTTGGATCTGTTTTTCTTTCTGTATTTTTCTCTGATCTATCCTTATATGGATCCAATTCTTTTGTTGCAGCCATGTCGGCATGCTCCAACTGTACGTCCTGCATTCTTATTTGAGAAATGATAGTTAGTTCCATATCTTCTTATTGGATAGCTTGTCCCTGGGAATGTTATGTTCTCCTAATATTTTCAGGCTTAATACCATATAACAAATGAAATGCAGGCTTTGACTTTCCATAAGTGTAAGAATCTGAAAGTTCACAATCTTATGGTTATCAACAGTCAACAGATGCACATAGCATTTACGAATTGTCTAAGGGTTACAGTATCCAATCTTAAAGTGATAGCACCTGCTAGCAGCCCCAATACTGATGGAATCCACATCAGTGCATCCCGTGGTGTTGAAGTCAAGAATAGCATTGTCAGAACAGGTTAGTTCTGCAATCTCTTTAGCTGTAAAATTTTTCACCCGACAACAATAATTATTTCCTTTTCCATTTTTTATTTTTTTCCAACAGCTTTTAAGTGCATGAATTTGAAATAGTAGTTGGACTATATATTTATTAGAAATTCCATTAATATTTGATGATTTCAGCTTGTGAAAGACCATAGAACAAAGTGATTTTGAATAAAGTTTTTTGCTACTGATGTGTCTGTCTTGAGAACTGATGAATTACCATAAGATGATCATATTTAGAATAACTCAAGTGGAACAATAAGGTTAAAGATTAGTACATGCTATTTTTCTTATGATATTAAGTAGAAGTCTCAGTTTCATTTGTTCTTGCCTCTGGGTGTGGTACGTAACTAATCTTGGTACTTTGCTTATATTGCTTATCTGTATATTCAAAAGAATGATCATAAGCTCTTCAATTAGAAATAACAACGGAGTTCTTCTTTGTTTATGTTCAGACATCTATAAGGACTGGTGTTTTAGGCTTTACTATTAAGCTTTGACAATGAGATGAATCTTGTTTTGGTACTTGGGTGAATCATGAGTCTTTAACACTTTAAAGCAAGATTTTCTATTTAGGCATCAATATATTAACATCTTAGTTTCGTGAAATTATTATGGCTTTAATGTATGATTTCTCAACAAAATGAATCTTTAATCTTGTCATTCTAATCAAGGTTTTTAGCTATGAGTTTTGCATTTGCTTTGGTCTTTTACAATAAAATATACTGATACCCAGATGTTGGGTGCCTTGAAGCACAATGTATCACTCCAGTGTTAAAGACATATTTGCTTCATTAGTTGATGAAATGAGTGGAAGAGGTCAAAGTACTAAAAATTGGTGCAGTCTAAGATTCTAAATTTCCTATCCTAAAAGCAGAGAACTTTATGCAACTAGAATCAAATAGTGTGCATAAATTCATCATTGATGCCTACATACATAAAGGAATCGCTAGGATTGGGAGGTTGTTATTGATATTTGCAATATCAAAAAACTCCATATTAAATATAACGTTTAAGTTCTAGACTCCAGAACATACTTGATATGTTGGATACCACAAAAGTGTACTCTGAGTTGAATGCAGTCAATTGCGATAAACCTGATATAGGTGGAAGATAGCTTTTCAGACTTAGGGAAGTCTCTAAAAATGGCTTGTAACCCCTTTGGTGGTAAAAACAAACAAAAACGGAGGTTAAATAATTACAACAAAAATCATACTACCTCTATGAGTTGCGTAAAATGTGGCCCCTCAATTCCATCAGATTATTCATTTGGGTTTTTGTTTCTCTTGTCTAACTTCTTCTTCTTCTTGGTGATCAAGTAAAATACAACACTTTGCATCCTCCATTTCATGTATTGTAGTTTTTTATGTAAATTTTATACTCAAAATATTCTTTTAGGAGATGATTGTGTTTCAATAGTCAGCAATTCTTCCCATGTCAAACTCAGAAACATCGTCTGTGGGCCTGGCCATGGGATAAGGTAAAATCATTTTTCACACTGGTTTAGGGGTAGCATGAGTAAGTTAATTAACTCTGATGTGCACCCATTAGCATTGGAAGCTTGGGAAAATCAAACTCGTGGGCACAGGTGCATGATGTACTTGTTGATGGAGCTTTCATTTCCAACACTGAGAATGGGGTGCGGATAAAAACATGGCAGGTAGCACAAGTTCTGTTAATTGTCTTTGTCTTGTGTTAATGCGTGTGAAATGGGAGTAGTGAGTAGGGAGCTTATGCTTGATAAATCTGTGCTTTCTTATATCTTTGCCAGGGAGGTAGTGGTTATGCCGCCAATATGAAGTTCCAGAATGTATTGATGGAGAATGTATCGTACCCAATTATAATTGATCAATATTATTGTGATTCTACACTGCCATGTGCTAACCAGGTTTGAATTCCTCATAATGCTTGATCCCAGCAAAGAATTTCATGATGCATGTGGCTAGAAAAGAAACTTTATAATTTTCTAGATTTTCTTTTTCTCTTTAATTGAGTTTTTCCTAAAGTCAATTTTCTTTTGTACCAAGATGATCAAGAAAAAGGGTATAAATAAGTATGAAAGACAAGGTAAATATGTGACTTTTCTCAAACCTTAACTTCTGAATTAGTTTTGGTTGGAAAAAAAGAATTTGAAATATAGAAGCAACAGATTAGATCACTGAAATTTGTAAAATGTCTAACAGGCCTACCCTTTTCTGTTATTGTTTTGGTGGGGTTGAGGGAGTAGGAAATGAGTGAGCAATTAGCTTGTTTAAGAATTGTATATAGCATGGAAGAGTGGGTGTAGGAGATTTGCTTGGGCCACAGGAGTGCCTAGCCTTCTTTGGCCTTAAACACGAATCTGCCACTAGAATAAGTGAGCCCTGGTCGTAATTCTGGTACACTTTAAAACAGAGTCTTAGGTAGTACTCATTGCTAGTTATCCTGATCTGTGAATGACAATACCAGAAGAATTTTTCATGATGGAGGTTTAGGGTATTAGTTTCATGCAATGATAATTGTGTCAACTGTTAATCTGATGGAATGCAGACACTGGCTGTTAAAGTGGACAATATATCCTTTGTGCACATCAAGGGAACTTCAGCTACAGAAGAAGCAATAAGATTTGCTTGCAGTGATAGCTTGCCGTGTGAAGGATTATATTTGGAAGATATTCAACTTGTGTCATACACCCGGGGCATTGCTAAATCTTTTTGTTGGGAAGCTTATGGCTCAAGTTTAGGTCTAGTGCAGCCCAATTCATGCCTAACATGCTCTGACGGCTTCATTAAGCAGAAAGTTCCTTCTGGCTTGGCTGTTGATTCCTTATGAGTGGATCGTAATACTTTTTTTCGACCACATTTGAGTCAGCAATGAGAAAATCTCAGGAGCTCTACTGTGGATGTTCAACAAGTTTCTCTTAACAACCCACTGATAGAAAAGAGAACTTATCAGAAACTGCTGCTATCGCAATGGAGAAGAATAATGCAGGGACATAACAAAAAGCATATCCTTGCAAGAAAAAGCATAATCATAGTCCCTTAAGATCTTGCAAAATACTCTTTTCCAACTTCTAAGTTATTTATGTGCAGAGCACCTTTGAGAAGATGGTAACTCTGCTGCATCACTAGGGTGATTGTATATTTTATTGATTATCATACCAAGTGCGAAAATTGTTGTATAATAGTTTCTGAACTTTGTAAGGTGTATTAACCTTCATGTTGTAGGCAATGAAGTGCATCACCAAATTAATTGTACATATTTATCTGTATTTGGTTTCAAGAATTTGACATGGTTTATAGACAATTGGACAACTTTCTTAAATGGGATCTCTTGGCAAAGAAAGTAGTATTTTTGTTGGAAATCCTCATTGTACTGAAGAAAGCACTTGCAATGACAAATTGGCTTTGCAGGGCGAAGGATAATTTGTTTATCACACTACAAACAAAGGCCAAGCCTCCATTATTATAACATGATTAGTTCTGATCAAGCTACATTATGGAGGCCTGAAGTGGAAGCTTATGTCACAAGGAAAGTGCCTCAATCCCACATCAGGTAGGAACGGGAGGTCTTAGGCTCCTTATAAACGGTGGTGCTGCACATCCTTATAGACATGTTTATGGGGGAGAGAGTAATGACCCCGTGACAAAGTGGTATCAGAGCAGACCGGTCCTCGTTCTGACTCACGCCAAGCGCCCGGCTCGGTGGGGCTGGCCCAGTGGGGCCCAACAAGGTAGGCAGGGTGGCCGACGGCAGCGAGGACGCTTGCCGATTCGGGTGGGTGAGAGTGTCACAAGGAAAGTGCCTCAATCCCACATCAGGCAGGAACGGGAGGTCTTGGGTTCCTTATAAGCGGTGGTGCTGCACATCCCTATAAACATGTTTATGGGGGAGCCGTGACACTTACACCTAGAAAGCGAATTTTAACTAAGCTTCACATAGAAAGTCAAACACCCAATGCAGAGACAACATTCCATGCTAAACAGATACTTCTTTGAATTACTCTATATAAACAACTCAAAACCCAAATTTTTAAAATTCCGAAAATGAATAAAATCTGCATTTCATTCGAAGAAGGATTTAAACGTTGACCTCTGATGCTGCCAACTGCATTTGTAATGCAGTGCCAAACAGCAAATCTATTACTTTGAAGCCTTATAAACTAGCTTTCAAGACGTCATTTCTCGTGCATCCTTGGACTGGATTTCTATGCAAAAGAAATGAGTTAGCGGGCACCAAGCTTTGGACACCCCTCAGCAAGAGGCAGGTCCAAATTTTGAACAGTTCTGAATGTTCTTGGAACCATCTTATCTACATAGAGTGTTCCATCCAAATGATCACACTCATGCTGCAAAATACGTGCCTGCCAGCCTGAAGCATCTACTTTAATAGGCTGGCCATCACGGCCCAAACCTGTGACCTCAACATCAAGATGTCGCTCCACAACTGCTCTGAATCCGTCAACACTGCAAAATCACAGTAAGGTAAAGGACATGAGATTACAACCAGAAATAATTCAAAGCTTTGTAAGGTTCATGTCAAGGTTCTAACGGAAATTTTAAGAATTAACCAACTCTTTTATGTACCTCACAATTTGTCAAGTTCATTCAAAAGAGGTAACCATCCATAAATAATTTTTATACTATTAGTAAAACCAATCTGAGTTCACCAAGCATTAAATAGTTTTGGTATTGTTTTCTCCCATGAGAGAATACAATAAAGAAGAAATTGGTATTATTAGATGTCACATTAAGCTCACTCTGGCGCATGAAATTGCAGGTAAAGAATTATGTAATCTGACTAGATAACTATTTTGATGTCTTTAAGGAAACCAATAAAGCACATTTCAAACAGTGTATATTACTAACAATAAGTTTGTTCCTTCACACTACCGACACTTTGCCAGTCCGTGATACTGACATTCCTAACTATAATAAAATCATTAAACCACCTTAAGCAAGGAAAGGGCAGTGAGGAGAAATTAAATACTCCTATTTTTTTGGAATAGTTATAATTTCAAAATCCCCTCTGGTACTTTTCCAGTGGGCATGAAATGTACATATTCAGAACTGAATAACAGTTCCATTTGCCTGGGAGAGAGCTTCTCAATTTTCAGCTCAAGAATAAGCTGGACCTAAACCTTGATTTTGAATATATATGACGGTCCAAGATACCAGCTCAAGCAGTCAAGAGTAGTACTTCTTTAAGTTAGAATTTGTCTGGGTTTGCCCATTTATACAAGTAAAAGAACCCCCTATGCTCCCTCTCTAAGAATGATCATATAAACTTAGAACCATTTCATTGGGAGATTATATCCTTACGAAAGAATTACACCAATTAGTTTCCTCATAAAAATCAGTAAAAACCCCTCATCCAAGATGGATGTGTTGAGGAAGATGGGCTGCATTAGTAAATGGTGCCATAAATTTTATGATATGACCTCAAGAAATGACATTTTACTAACTTGATGATGTCATTTTTTTAAGTTCAATGTATTCAAAGTCATCCAAGCTCACTTAAAGAACTTAATTAATAGTAACATGATCCCTTTTTTTGGCTCAATACTGAAATGATCTTGGAATTTGCAAATTCTTTTTGCTTTGAGACCTTAATAGAATGAATAATAATAAAAAAAAAAGGAACTGGGCAGGAAGCAAAGCCTCCAAAGTCCTCGCTCCACACTTAGGTAGTTAAGAAACATCATCGACCAAAATGCCCTTAACAAAATTAAATGTTTTACTTAATGAACAACATAGTAAATGTCAATGGTAGACTGAATTGGGATACTATGCATTAGTAACAGAAAAAGCACTACTAAAAAAATGCAGACTATTGAAATTCACTATTTGCATCTTACCTCAAACAACCTTCAAAAAACAATGCCGTCCTATTGCTCTTCTTTTTAAGCTTCGGATTTACGATAACCTGACTCATGAGAACTAATAAATCTTAATACTAAAGTGAAAAACTCTTGAATGCTAAATCGTAAAACTACAGATATCATTTCAATTATCAAATATTCTCTGTATCGATATAGATCAACATACCAGAAGATCAAAAGGGTGTCTATCCTGTGCTTTAGTCTCTTCCTTGGGCGCATAACTAATATATTCTGTTGTATCCTCTAACACAATGATCTGCAAAACATTATAACAAAGGTATAGTCTTGTAAAATTCTTGACTTCATTTTTATGAAGCATTGCTTGATGAGGTATAGTTTAACTTAAGCTATAGCATATGATAGCAAATATTCCATTAAGTAAGGCTCCTTTAGCTAATTGCTTTGTTACAGCAATGTAAAAAGCCAATGATAGAAAACAAAATTTTTAATTACTTAAAAAAGATAAATGACTAAAATTTAATAATTATTGTTATATAGAAGTAAAATTACACATTTTGTTACTTGAAAGGTTACATTTATATTTTTCTAATTTATCTTTTATTTCGTTTGAAAGCAAAATTCAAGCAAAAGCATTGATCAAACATAGCCTAAGCTTTGAACCAATAAAAACAGAGCTTAAACAGTTATAATCAAATATGTCACAAATTGCTAAATGAGAACTTTTAAAACTAACTCTCAAAGGGACTCCAATCTGAGGGGCAGCAAGACCAACACCGGGTGCCATCCTCATAACCCGAACCATATCATCAATTATCTTCTGTATCCGTACCGACCCAATTTCATCCGGGTCAATCTCCCTGGCTGGTTCGTGCATAACCGGGTCACCCGCTTTAACTATCTCAGGCAAGCTCGTTTTCTTCTTCTCGCCAAGACCCAGAAACCAACCCGCTTTGGCAACTGCTGGCGAAGAGAGAGGCCTCCGGGAAGAGAAGTGGGGGGTTGGGTTTGGAAATGCGGGTCCATTAATGGGTATTCGGGTGGAAAGATATAACGGCGCTAATCTGGCGGTGTTCCGGCTGAGAGTTACCGGTAAAAGACGAAATGAGAATCTGTGAAGGACTTCCACGGTTGCTGTGGGTGTCATTTTATGGTTTAAGAGGAGTTTTTGAAGCTTAAAGGCTTTAAGGGTAAAGGCCGAAATGCTCTCTTTTGGTTATCATTGAGTTCTGAAATCGGGCCTGAACTTGAGCTAGGCTTTATTGGGCTAGGACATAACTTTTAAGCTCGAGCTTAGCCCAACCCAACCCGATTAACTCATTTCATGAATAAATATTTTATTCTTCTATTAAATTTTAATTACAAAATATATTTAAAAAATATTAAAATTCTAATCATGAAATAATATTTTCTCATTTTAATAATCAATTATAAGTTAGACATGGGGCCTATTGACCTTAGGCTTGACTTTAAAAGGCCGGGGGGTGGGGGTCGGATGTGCCTGGCTCAGCTCGGCCCACAAGAACCTCTTTCGAGGAAGTTACTTTACTATATGATATTAATATAGCTAAATTAATTACATTTTTGTATTATATCTAAGAAAAATTTTAAATTATTTAAAAATTTTTAAAAAATATCTATTTTTTATTATGCTCAATTAAGTTCTTGCATTTCTATTTTTAACTAAATAAACTTTTATAATTAATTTTTAATTTAATTAAAATATCATTTATTATTTTACGTTAGATAATATTGATATGACATGCTAATATATCATAATAGATAATAAATAGCATATTGATATGACATGATGATATGATTATACAACATTTCACCTTATATATTTTGAGTAAAGGTAATTAGTCAACCATTAGTCATAGAAACTGTTTTGACACAAAATAAAATTGTAAGAATTTAATTAAACATAATAAAAGAATAAAAGTTTATTTAAATTTTAAAAAATATTTTAAGAGTTTTTATTAATATTATACCTCATTATTTTCAAAGAAAAGGTTAGTTTAGGTAATCATATTGTCAAGGATGTTGATGCTTGTGATATTAATAATGGTTGTAGGCAATGGTGAAAAGAGATAACAATAGAATTTGCAAAATCCAACCGCAATTCATAAATTATAAACTTGTATTTTTCACTTGAGGAAATCTACATACGAAATTATAAGAGTAATTTTTTGAGAACATTTGAAGGCTCTCCCTTGAGCACTCAAGCCATTGAATTTGACTTATTGAAACATAAAGTAAAATTAGGCTTCAATTTTATCATTTAAATTAGAGTAACATATCTTAACCCTTTTAAGTTTTGATCAAAATTACACGGAAGTCTATTAATTTTCGAAATAGACATTCTGCTTTAAAACTAAAAACACTGTTAACAAAAATAATAAAAAGATTAAAATGCCCTTTTTGTTAATTTAAAAATTATTATTATATTTTTTAAAAAAATAAAAAAATAAAGAGCACTGATTGGTGCTTCCCAACTCTCCAAGAAAGGGGAGCACTAAGCACTTCTACTCCCCAATGAGTAGCCTTTGTTTTTAATTAATAAAAATATAAAAAAATTATATAATTATAATTATAAAAATTAATCAAAGGTAAAATTATCTTTTTACTCTCACCTCATCAGCAAGTTGACAAAAATTCTAACGCTTGACTAACGGTTGGACTTACGTGTCTAACAAAAAATATTTTTTAAGACGGAATGTTCATTTCGAAAACTAATGAATTTTTTTGTAATTTTAATCAAAACTTAAAAAAATCATAGTATGTTACCCTTCAAATTAAAATAACTTAAAGTAACTTTATTGTTGCATATGTACGCATACATCATCCTACGTTTTTAGTATGGTTGGAGTGATTGATCTATGTTCGACTTTTACCCTTGATTAATTTTATATTGATTTTCTTTTGAATGAGAATTTTATTATTGTTATATTTTTAAAAAGAATCAAAGTATTTAACTCTTTTCATGGGTATATGTACGTATTTAAGCTCAAGGGGTAACGTTATAGCAACAATTCACGAGCACAAAGTTGAGAGTTGGGATTGATCAGTGGAGCTTCGAGGCTGACTAGTACAAGTTTTGGTTGGAAACTTGGGGCGAATTTGGATGATAAGAATATATATAGTATTTGTATCAATCTTAAAAACGCATCTCCCCTTCAATTTTATACTATTTCTTTTGGTAACATATATAGGATATCTCTAAATCTTGCTCAAGCTCTCCCCCAAGAATGCTCTAGTGCTTTGATGATAGTGCTCCAACCTCGATGCCCTTCCCTCAAAATTTAAGCATAGTGTAGGTGTTTCTTGCTTGCTCTAGTCCTTACAAAACAAACCAACATCTCCATCTCCATCTTTAATTCCATGATTGTATGAATTAGTACAGATTAAATTCATACAAAAAATCACAATATATGAGTGAAACTCATTGTAATCATAACACGATGAAATTTATGGTATAAGTGATAAAACATAAATTAATGTATTAAATAATTAGTTTAAATTATACAATTGTTCTCTATATTTTATAAAAAAAAGTAGATTTAGTCTTTATATAATAATTTGTATAAATTTAATTTTTATATTTTTTAATTTCAATTTAAATCTTAACATTGTTAAATTTTTATCATTAAATATATTGACGTGACATTTTGATCAAGCTAACATGGTATTGATTGACATAATATGGTATTTTAGTCATTGATATGGTATTGATTGGAGTGACAACAATTTATTATCACATCATTTCAATCAATATCATGTTGACTTGATTAAAACGTCACATCAATACATTTAACAGTAAAAATTTAACAATATTAAGATTTGAATTGAAATTAACATATTAAAAAAAATATAAAAACTCAATTAATACAAATTATTATATAAAAACTAAATTTATATTTTTAATAAAATATAAGAATTAATTATATAATTTGATCAAATAATTATTAATTAAAACATCACTTTCCGAGTGGAATAGTGGAACTGCATATGGCGGTTAGATGTCAATGAGAAAGGGCCAATTATATATCAACGTACCAATCTTTAAAATATTTCCTAACATGGCAAAACCTAATATATATTTAAGGAATACCCTATAGTTTAGGGCATCCCATATGGGTGACAGCTTGTCATACCCCATAATTCAACACTCAATCATGTGCAATATGTCACCACTTTTAATTTAATTCGTGGGAAGAGAACTTTTTTTTTTTTAATATATATTTTTGCAAACAATGAATGTACAAGGCAAACGATTAGGCAGTTAGGCGTAGATGCCATACTTCCCTTTAATTATATCTCTTGAAACTTCTAATAATAAAAAATATTTATAATGCACACGTCTGTGTAGTTGTAAATCCAACAGCAATGCAAGTTCCCATTTGTCCTTGAGGAGCCAGCAATGGCGCCCTGCAGGGCATCTTTCGGCCTCCACCGGCCTAGGGGACATTTCTTAAGCCGTAATTTTGATTTGAGTTGTCTCCTCACAATGCGTGTTAGGAAATTATAAGTTAGGTCTTTCTTCAAAGTCAAAAAAGATGGTCAGAATAGGCAGTTTTGTGTTAATCCCCCTTACTTACGACAATTAGCCTTCTCTAAATTGAAACTTCTCCCCATCTTCACTATCAGCTTCTATGATTCTTCACATTTTACGTATAGATTTTCATGATAATAAGGAATAAAACTATAATGTTCTATGACATGTTGTGACATAGTATTTCAAAGTTCTATTTATAGGTAAGTGAATATGAATAAGGAAATGTTGACCTGTTACTAGATTAGTCCTTATCAATATATATGTGGCTTAAGCATTTTAACTTTTTTCTAATGTGTTTATCATTTTATTAAGCAAGCATGAATTAGTTTATTACCCAAATCTTGTATATAATTTACAAAGCCTATACAGACTTTTCACCTTAGCATATCCATCCAAAAAGTTTTCTATCTAACTTAAGCTTGTCGATATCTTTTATTTGAATTCCAGTTTGGCGTTCTCCTACATCAGAAAAGTAAGATGGAATCCCAGCCTACTAAAATAACCCATTTTTTTATATGACTTCCCTGGCTATAAATATGGGAAGCCCTCTTAGCATGGGAACCCATCTTCTTGCCAGAAAGAGAGTTCTGCAAGCAAAACAAGAGAAACCCACCCCACGATTGCAATGAAGAACAGCTCCATGCCTCGTTCATACCAAAACTCCGCAATTCCTGAAGCCAATGTTCATAATAACTTCACAGATAATAGAGCCATGAGGTCCAACGTCAGTGATAAGAAGCCGGTTGGAGCCCCAAACAAGCTAGAGACAAAGCCATCAGTGGACATTAATGAAAGTGCTGAGGCATTCATCAAGAAGTTCAGGCACCAACTTTTGCTCCAGAGGCTTGAATCCATCGAGAATTATGAGCAAATGTTGGCTAGAGGGCTCTGATCGGTTACACTTTTCTTTTATCTTTTAAAGTGTTTGCACTGGTATTCTAGGCTAGCTCCTTCCAATTGTTTCATTTGTTTTGGCTTGTATTTTCTCTGTTATGAATCCACATGGATGATATGGAGGGTTAAAAATATGTAAAAGAATAATTCTTTATACTTATATAATTAAATACAAGCTTTGCTTTTGCAATATATAATATTATGATGAATGCTCTGTCTCTTTTCCCCTGAAATTCCCATCTCTGTATTCCATGTCTTTCAGTGATCAGCTTGCATTTAAGAAGGATATTCATTTTTCATAAGCAGTAAATCAAGCTGGAAGAGCCAATTAGAAAGGAAATCAAATGTCGGTTTGCACTATTAATGGGACAGAACTGTTTTTGCTTATTGATTTTCTTATGATTGCCAGTCTGAAAGTAAAAAAGATAGGTAAAAATGTGATTACAAAAGAGGAAAATATGGTTGAGAACGGTGAGCCAAAGTTAACAAAGAGATGATATAAGATCATATGTTGTCCAGATTCTTAGATTAAATTATGTGCAATTTTTTTCCCTCAATATAAATATTCCATATGCTTAGCTTAGCATCTTTTTGGGGTTTTCCCCCTCTTCTAAACTGGAAAATCTTGATAGATGAAAAGCAGTTGTAAAGAATGTTATATATCTCCTTAATTGGGTTTTTCTTTTGATGAAAACCCTAATTGGATTTTAAGTTTGTTATTTATGATCAGGAATAAGAGATTGTGTATAACTTAAGCATGTTGGTTGTTAATAAATAATTGAATGAACATGAGATACAGAAGGATCAGACGTAAATCCACTGCCAAAATGCGTGCCAAATCAATGACAAATCTAATAGAATGGCGGTGCCCTTAAATTTTAGACCATTTAACAGAGGTAAGAAATGTCAAGTTTCAACTTTTTAGGGAACCTTTGATGCCAATTCCCGTCCAAATCCTGGAATCAAGATTGGATGGTGTTGAGACTTTGTGGGCTTGGAATCCTAATAAAAAATCTCAACTACGCTTAAATATAGCTAGATCCATAGAACTACCCAACTCTTTGCAATACTTTTTCTTTACTCTCATCTGCCTCCAAAATAAGTTGGGAAAAGCAATGCAAATCGTCAAACATGTACATGAGCCATGAAAATTTAATTTTTTTTTCCTAAAACAAGATCATAATGGTTGTTTAATATAAATAAATCCTAACTAGCTGGTAGACGATATCTATATCCTAAAGCATTGGATGTCGAAATCAAGAAGTTAATACAACAAGGATGTCAAGATCTTTCTCACAAAACTTAGGTTGTTGCAAACCTCAAGCTGTCCAATTATTAAACCTCTAATGATGATTCACACAAACTCCAAGTAGAATAACACCAATGGTGATTTGGGGTTTGCTTTTGCTACTAAGCCTAGTGCTAGTTAGGAGGAGGCCAACTAAGTTTCTAACTTCTCAAGAAAAATCAAAACACAAAAGAGGAGGAAAAGCAAGCTGTTTATATACCCAAGGAAACCACTCAAAATCGATACTTAGAGTTTCACTCTTACTAGTTGTCAATATCTAAGGATAGGGCTGCTAGGTTGTTGAAATCTGAACTCTTAATTCTTAATTGCCTTTCAAGGTTTTTTGTACGTCAATAGTCAGGGGAGAATGCTTGTGTCATTATGGGGGAACACAACCCCCCAGAATTTTAAAAATCTTTTAATATTATATATTTTTTCTCTTAATGACCCCTTCAAAAATTTTTAGTCATTAATCTTGATTGTCTTTGACCCTTCAATAAAAGTTGGCTAGCTTTACCCTTGCCAATAGTCCTTTTAATGTATATTATAAGTGTTAGGAAGATAAGCTTAAAGTAAAGCAACCAAGAAGGGAGGTGAATTAGTTTTGAACTAAAAATTCCCCTTTTTTAAGAGAACTTGAAAATGCAGTAAAAATATAAGAAATAAAGTAACAAAAAAGGAGTATAAACTAAGCAAGTAAAGTGCAAAAAGATAAAGAGTACTCAGTTGGATTTTTATAAAGGTTCGGCTTTTCAATGCCTATGTCTTTTTTCTTGATAGCATAAGAAGTTCGAATTCACTATCAACTTGCTTTTCAACAAGGTTAGGCATAACCTTTACAACATGCCTTTTAATAGGGTCAGGCGTGACCTTCACAACATGCCTTTTCACAAGACCAGGCATAACCTTAACCAAGACAATTCAGTTTTCAAGTTCAGGCACAACCTTTACACAAGACACAGCCTTTTAAAGGATCAAGAAAAACCCATTTACCTTTTACTTGAAGGTATAACCAATACAATAGTGGGTTCTTAAAATAATCTGTAGCTCAAAACCTTTATGAAAGTTGTTAGGATGTTTAGGTTCAGAAGGATGAGAGCTTTCTCAAGAGAAATGGATAATGAAAAGAGGTTTAGGCTCAAAGAATATTTACTAAAGGATAAAAATGTGATCTTTAGGTTCTGTTTTGCTCAAAAATAGGATTTTTTTTGCTCTTTTCTTTTTTGCTTGTTTTCCTTCTTTTTGGCTCTTCAGAATCTTTTCAAAATCATTCAAGATTGCTCAATTACATGCCTTTAATGTCCTCAAAGTGGATATTTATAGGACTTGTGATTTCTTGTTCGTTGAAGTGAAATTTGAATTAAGTTCTATACGTTGTGGCTGGCTTGCACATTTTTGTCGTACATGGAGAGTCGATTCTTTGATCATGAGTTGTTGGTTCTTCATAAAGTTTGAAACTTTTTGTCTTTGAAGAACTGATTCTTATTTTCTGAGATGTTGCTTCTTCATAAAGTCTAGAACTTTTTAATTCTGCAGAATTAATTCTTCTTTCTTAAGATGTTGATTTTTCCTTAATTTGGTTCAAAGGTGATACCTTTGTATTTTTGGAGAATCGATTCTTCTTTTTCTTCAAGCTGTTGGTCCTTCACTATTGATTGGTGCCAAAATTTGAATTTTAACTGATTTTTGATGCTTCAATCTTATTATCCATTCACAACATTTCTTTCTCGGTCATCAAATTCTTGATTTTTGCTTTTGGTGAAACTTAGCAGCATATCTTTAAGTTGGAGAGCATTATCATTTATTTTTAAAGCATATTCAATCAATTGTAGCATTTCAAGACATCTTTTTTTTTTTAAGATCAATTTCAAAACATCCTTGAGGATTTTCTTTAGATTCAAAAACATCTTTCATTCATTTTCAAAGCAAATTTAGTTTAATTAATTTTATCATTTTAAAACAGGGATAAGACTAACAATCTCTCTTTTTTGAGATGATAAAATTAAGAGATAAATTTGCTCATTTAAGAACTCCCCTTGAAATTGTGCTCATAATTTCAAAAGGTTTCAAAACTAAGGTAAAAGAATTGAAAACATTTTTCTCAAGTAAAGCTCCTTTTGAATATATGCTCTTTTCAAAAATATTTAAATTTGAATTTGAAAGCATTTTAAGATCATATTTGAAAAATCCAGCCATGACATTTAGCGAAGGTAAGCTTTGGCTTTTAGCAATATACTCATAATATTTTCCCCTTTTTTGTTATATGAAAAAAGGATTGAAAATTGAGTATAATAATATAACTCACAGAAATAACATAGAATGTTAGTAACAAAAGTATAATTAAAGCATCCACGACAAGAAGATTTAAACAATTAGGATAAATTTTATTGATCGCATAATTACCTGCATATTGCTAGTCAGAAATTTAATCTATATCAAGTAGCATCAAGAAGCAAAGCTATTTACTATTTTCATGCATTATAGATATTAGAGTCAGTGAACCACTTAGATCAAATCAATAAAATGTATGATGGATGAATGTATGCAAATGAAAATACAGAAGTCATCTAATAGAGATGTTCTAAAAACCACTAGAAATGTGCTCCATTTTTACAAAATTTAAGTAGAGTATCTCAAAGATTAATTTGAGGATCAGCTATTTGAGTCAAATTTCTTCTTAAGTTAACTCATCTGTTTTATGTGCTTTTTTCGTTCATGTAGTAAATTTTTGATTTGATTGTTAAAAAAGCTATCCATTTCTACAATCAAGGAGTTCATAGTTGTTTGGGAAGAAGGATCTTTAATGTCATTAAATTCCTTGCTATCATTTGTTTCTATTTCTTTTTGTTCAAGAGCTTGTGCAGGTGCCACATTTTTAGGATACCATTTCTCTTCAATCAACTAATATTCAAACTCTTTTATCTCTTCTTTAATGGTCTTCTGAACTTAACATCTAACTAGTAAGTCTACTATAGTGTCAATCTTAAGTGCATCCATTAATTGACTTATCACCATTTCATGAACTAATCTTTTATTCTTCCCTTTGATTATTTCCATCATATCTCTAAGAAAGAAGTGACCCAAGTTTATTTGCTTGTTGTGTTTGATATGATAAATGAAGAACAAATCTTTACGTTTCACATATGAATATTCTTTCCCACTTGGTCTTAAAAACTGACATAAAAGCAAGTGCAGAATTTGATCATGAAAGCATAGATGGTTTACACTAATGTTTCCAATGCAGTTGGTGGAGGAAAGATGAAGACCTTAGTTTCTAAATCATGTTCATTGAGTCCATTGTGTATACTTTCCAAGTCATTTCCAAAATTAGGAATTCCTAAGACATAGTTAATTACTGGTGGTGAAATGCTTATTTCTTTTCCCATGATTGATGTAGTCAACATGATCTTGGAACTGTATGCCTTTCTTTCATTGTTTGTGAATGTGGCATCAACATTTGAGTAGAAAACTTTGACTAAATTCTCATAATAAGGTCTGTTCATTTCTAAAAGTGTCAAATATCTTTGTTCTTTGAGATTCTTTATATATGGATATTCTAGTGTACTAAGGTAATCAAAATCAATTGACTTGCTAACAATCACATGAAGATATGAGAACAAACAAAAATTCCTTTGTTTTTGTTCATGAATGTTGAAGTTCTTCCTAAAACTGTCATTAGACCTTGACGAAGATTGACTTTTTTGGTCTCTAGTAGAATTTTCATGCCTTGTTGTCATGACTAGTGACTCTTTTGATGAACAAATTTTTAATGAAAGGAAGTAGAGGAGTTTCACAGTAGACTTGTAAAAACATTATAGGGGATGAACAGAGCAAGAATATATTTCTTTGAATTCATAAGAAAGGCTATCTGACCTTTTGCCTTGTCGCTTAAAAGTTTTAATATCCTTTAAGTGGATTCTATCACT